CCCCGCGTCTGCCTCCCCCACCTACGCATGCAAACACGGGCTCAAACAGCGCTGGGTGGGGAGCCTGGGGTTGAGGGGAGGGCTGTTCAGAAGGCAGGAGGGGGCAGGAGGGTCCGAGGCACTTTCTGCCCCCATCTGTTGTCAGCCACCACCTCCCGCGGATGCCATTTCCGGGCCTCGCACCCACCTCGTCTGCCAGCGATCCACTTGTGCCCGTCGCAGGATGACTTCCTGCCTCTCGAGCTCCTGGACAACAGACAGTTCCTGCTAAGACGCTCGCCACTGGCCGCGCGATCGCTTCCTCTACCCAGAAACGCCGGAATTCTGGCCGCCTGAGGGACTAGTTTTCAGGCTAGTGCGGCACTGCGACACAGAAACCCACCCACCCAGCCTCCCTGACGATCTACCACCACTCCACCGCGGCAGTCTGTCAGTCGTCAGGCGCGTGTCCTTCCGGTCTCTCTTCCGTGGGACACACCTCTAGACCCGCCCAAGGGAGAGCGTGGGCACGTGACGCGCTGGCCCACGCGACCACGCAGTCTGCCTGCTGGTCGCAGCCCTGCAGCCCCGGGCGCAGGACCTTCCTGTGCCACTGAGCTGTTTGCCGGCAGAACCTGAAGCTCCTGACCGTGGCGGAGAGAGAGCTGAAGGCAGGCTGGATTTGGAGCCGAGGCGTCCATCCCGAGGCCTGGGCCTTGCTCTGTAGGAGCCCAAGGCTGGCGAGGAACACTCAGTGAGGAGTGTGGAAACGAACTGACTTTGAGTATTCTAAAACTCCGGCGACATTTTGCAACACAGGATCTGTTCTGGAAAATATTGATGGCAAAACGAACGTTGAAAACTCCAGTTTCTACCACTAGGATGATCCCTGTTAACACTTGTGGTTTGTGAGGGGAGGCAAAACAGCTACTTGGCACCATTTCCATAAACCTTGCATACTAGAATGGCCGGGCCGGGGGGCGAGCATGTTGCACTGCCAGAAAAATTACACAAAACTTGGGTAAAGACAACGTAGGTTACTGGATATTATTTCAGTGCAGTGCTGAGCTTCACTTTCTATTGATGGGGCAAATTTTCAACCCCGAGAGGCCGGTGTTAACTCAGATGTTCTGTCCGATAGATATGGAAAGGATTTATGTCCAGTGGGACGGATAACATCTATGGTTACAATTTATTGCCCTGAAGATATTGACCAAGTTTGTATTTAACCCGGCAATGTTATTCTGACTTTTTTCTATGCGTGTATGAAATCGAATATGCATGTATTGAGTATACTGGGTATACTGTATACACACCTATCTCCTTCAACCATTTTCATAACCTTAGTTGTGTTGGAACATCTTTCACACATTCATTTCTAACTTATGTCTCATACTTTTACCTTTTCAAAAATATTAGCAGCATCCTCAGACAAAACAAGTAACATTTTCACCATGTCTAAAAATAACAAAACAGTTCTCACAAGTCTCGATTCCCTCTCCAAGCCAACTCTATCCCTGACTTCTGCAGTTTCTATCTGAGAGTATGGCATGATTTTTTTACTGATTAATGTGGAAAATACACATAAAACCGGTTTCAAGTGTTCAGTTCAGCGGCATTAAGTACATTCACAGTGTCGTCTTACCATCACCACTATCTACTGCCAGAACTTTGTCAGTCACTCCAAAAGGAAATGTTATGATCTTTTGAACTAACAGGTGTGTAAAAAGGTGGCCACCTCTGTAATCAAGAGGCTAATGTAAACTTGGCAACCTCGATCATTTATTTTTCTTTGAAACATTTTATTTAAAAAGCTGTTTTCTTAAGTCTCATTCCTTTCCAACTTTTCTAAGTGGTTTGTGTCTCTAAAAATTCTAACACCCGTAGTTTATTCATTTATATAACTGTTTCCTTCCCGGCATTTACTGATGACTTGAGGCACTAGATAAAAACATATTTTTAAAAAGCCCTGTCTCATTAATTTTTGTATCATCCCAATGTCTGTCTCGGAAAACTTTTTCTAGCATGGTAGATTTTATTCTAGGCTATGGAATATATGAAGTTTCTTAGAAAGCCATTTTGAAATTGCATAGAAATTGTTTATTGACACGCATCTTTAAAATGGGAACCTAATTTTCCATAGGTGTCACATTATGTTCTATTTCACCAGCATGTGTCATTTCATGCCAACAAACAGATCATTTTTAATAGCTGAACGGTATTTCCTCAGTACTTTCCTTGGACTAGGATCGCAAAGAAAATCTTACTAACACCATTTAATTGGTGTGCCGTTTTGCTCTTTCATTCTTCAGGTGGCACTGAAGCAACACCTGCACTCTTGAGTTGTACAATGTGCAGATTTGGCCCACTCAGTTCTCCAAGCTGGCCTCATTCCAGCTGCATCCCTCACTAAACTTCTCACCAATTCCAGGCAGACAGGGTACATCCACGCTACTGCAACAGATTTTCCAATTATACACTTTTCTTCATACCATCATGCTCGCTTCCAAGAATGACCTAATGGTCTGTCTTCAACAACCACAGGAATGAGATTTTCCAATGAGGGCATGTTTGTCATACTACTAATCACCTGTTTGTTAAGTGTGCACAATGTATCTGCACCTGGATTTTAAACTGAAGGAGGGTCACTTCTGCCAATTTTCACACACGACTTTATTGAAAACAGAGACTCGAATAAAAGAACCATATTTAGACAACGAATAGCAGGGTAACTAGCTTACATAGGCGACTCAGTTCATTGGAAGCTCAACACTGAAAAATACTGCAATCTGGACAGCAAGACAGGTATCAACAAATATGTTTTCAGCTCTAATGTTCATTTGGTATCCACAGAACGATCCAGCTCAAACCCACAATCGGACAAAACTGTTAACATCAGCATGGAAAATACAAGTAACAACATAAAACCAGACTGAAAAACAAAGCACTACTCAGGACTCTGGGAACATAAGGCTCATCAGAGGCAGGTGGTTAGTCACATTAGCTTTCTTTCCCTCCCTCAGGATCATTTTGATTGTCTATTTGGGTTTGTAGCTCTTTAGCTAAGTTCTCAAATTCATGGAATGCAGCAATAAGTGGCTCAAGACTGAAATCATCATCAATTAAGGCCATTGTTCCATTTCTTATACTATGACTGATATTCCGAAACATTTTAATAACAATTTGGATATTGTCATTTGACTCTTCTATGTTAAAGAGACCCACAAATATTGATAGAGCTTTGGCACTGAATAGTTTTTTTGCCACCACAGCATTTTCAGACAAATTCAACAGCATTTTCAGAACATGAAATTTTGTTGTTGCATTGCCCGTGACTAATAGGGAGAGAAACCCAGACATAAAATTGGCAACCAGTGTGTGATAGTCAGGAGTTGTAGTGAGGTATCGAAGCAGCCTTAATCCAAGCAGCTGCTCAGGGGAATTCACATTTTGTGCAAGGGTTTCCTCACACACTTGACATATGAATGTCTCAATCATGTTTAGATTTGGATATGGTGGAGCCATGAGAATTATATTTTCCAAAAACCTTGTCCTAACTCGGGAGGAGGGATAATTGAGCAAGGTTTCAATAAGCGAGACAACACCTGAGTCCCGAATGAAATCTCGTGTAAATTGAGACGCACTTCTCATACCCATTGCGATTTTAGATATTTCCTGAATAAAAGGATCTCGAATTTTGTCCATTAACAGAAGGAGTTCTTCAAACTCTCCAGAACCAATTTTAAGCTCACACTGTATGCAGCTGCAGAACCAGCTCTCAGGCTCTGCATTCTCCCTGGTCCTAAGATGCTCCCGAATTTCCCTGACTGACCTGTAGGAGGGTTCATACTGAAATGGGAACTCAGGGTCTGGCTGATTGGCCTGAGGCAAAGATTCCTTATCTCCCCCTTCTGGGGTAAGTTCTGCACTCTGGGGCTTTCCCTCAAGCATTTCAGCGAACGCAGCTGCTGTGTCTTCAGGAATTCTAAAGGGGCTTGGGGATGGGAAGCCAACCAAATAACAAGGACCAGGTTTGAATTCAACAGTGACCTCTTCCCAGGTTTGGGGCCTGGATGATGTATTAAGTTCCTCAGCTGAATCTCTGAACCTGGGACTAGCCTTATACACAGGATTGGGATTTAGGTCAAAGCAGGCCTCATCCCTGTCCCAGAACCAGGATCCAAATATGGCCTCTTCCTCAGATTCTGGCCTGGTCTCTTCTCTGGCCACAGCCCCCAAACTGGACTTTTCCTCCGTCCAGAACAAGGATCCACCAATGGCCCCCTCCTCAGCCTCTGGTGTGGACTCAGGGAGGCCCGAAGCCCCAGCCTCCATACCAGCCTCTTTCTCTGCCCAGAACCAGGACCCAATAATGACTTCCTCCTCAAACCCGGCCTCTCGTTTGACCCTATCACCGTTGTTAACATCCTTCTGGACCCTGGGCTTCAAGACAGTATTAGGCTCTTCCTTGTCTCTGGGCCTGAATCTATTGGCCTCTTCTCCAGGCAAAAACCAGGACTCCTTATAATACTCTTCTTCAGACTCAGGTTCAAAAAAGTCCTCTCTCTTTGTCCTGAGCTTGGACCTAACATTTGCCCCATCCCTGACTCTGGGCCTGAGTAAGTTATGGGTATTTTCTCCAGCCCACAAGCAGAATGGGTTGCCAGACTCCTCCTCAGACCCAGACCAAGAGTCAATATAGGAATCTTGCTTGGATCTGGCCCGAGACCTGGGGTTAGGCTGATGTTTAGCCCTGTGCCTAGACCTGGTATTGGCCTCCTCCCTGGGCCACGATCTGATACTGGCCTCTTCTCCAGTCCAGAAAGAAGACATCGTAGAGGTCTCATCTGCTGACCAGAACCCAGATTCATTAGACGCCTCCTCTCTGGCCCTGGGCCTGGGATAGCACCAAGACCCCGTATTAGTTTCCTCCCCTGATCCAAACCAGGGTTGGATTCCTGACTGACCGTGCGAACCAGAAAAGGTTTCAGCGCCCACACTGACCAGTTCTCTATCTACAGGCAGGGTCATAGGTTTAGCAACTGGCCGAGACTCAGTACTGACCAGAGGCCAGGCTACTGCATTGATCTGGGGCACTCCCTCAGTTTGGGACACTGCCTCAGCCCCAAACTCAGTCTGGGCCCAAGCCTGGGCTTCATCTTTGAGCCTTGCCCCAGGGATTGCCTTGGCCTCCGTTTTAGGACGTGCCCTACCTACTGCCCTGGCCTCGGTTTTGGGCCTTGCCCCAGCCATTGCGTGGGATTCGCTTTTGGGCCTTGCCCCTGTCATTGTCTGGGCCTCAATTCTGGACCTTGCCCCAGTCATCACTTGGGAATCAGTTTTGGGCCTTGCCCCAGCCATCACCTGGGACTCCGTTTTGGGCCTTGCCCCAGCCATCACCTGGGACCCCGTTTTGGGCCTTGCCCCAGCCATCACCTGGGACTCCGTTTTGGGCCTTGCCCCAGCCATCACCTGGGCCTGGGTCCTGACCTTAGGTCTGACCACCATTTGAACTTCGTTCTCCCTCTCAGCCCCACCTCCAACCTCTTCTCCAGCCTTCTTTTCAGGCTTGGCCTGGGCACCAGTTTCAATCTCGGCCCCAGTCATAGTACCAGTTACAGAGCAGATGCGGTTAAATACCAGTACCACAGTCTCAGCCTCCACCACAGACCTGTCACAGTTCTGTATCTTCACACTCTGGTCTTTCAGTGATTCAGGGGATACAGTTGGAAATAAGACTAAGAGTCAATCACCAGTCCAGCACTCAATCAGCCTCCTTCCCAAGAACAGCCTCGGCCAATATCACAGACAGTTCAGAAGAGACACAACCAAGCTGAGGAAGGATGGATGGTTGCCAGGTGGGTGCAGACCTGTTGAAGGTGGTGGTCAGTAGCAATTCCAACACCAACACCACCAGAGATGCCACTGGAGGTGGATCTAGGGACAGAGAAGAAGATGAGGCTTTGAGTCTCTTTGAATTGTCACTCCATGCAGAACCTCACACACAGAGACTGGACCCTGAATTCCTGTTGGGGCTGTTGGGTTATTAGAAAGTCTCCCTGTCACCCTCATTTTGCCCACAGTTGCCACACTACTTGGCCTGCCACAAAACAGGTGTGAGGTTGGTGGGAAAGTGTGTTGGCAACGGGACAGGCTAAGGAGCCCCCAGACTACACCCTAATTAATCCGGGACGTGTGTTGGTCTCCACTACCCCACCCGAAGTTGTACCCACTCTCATACCAACCTGCTCTGATGTGGTGCGATTTCCCCCTTCTTGTTTTGTTCCAGTGGTATTAAGCCCTACAGCAGACGCAGACCATCCTATGGACAAGTAAATAAACAGGAGAATATGGAGTCCGAGTGCTTGGTTGACAGATACTCTGACCCCTGATGAAAACATCTTCCTGTTTAAGGGTCCAATTTGTCTAATGTCTCCTGTCTCCCGACCTCAAATCTTCTCCTCCCGTTCACAGCCCAACCCACACCTACCCTAATATTCCTAATTTCTCCTGCAGGAAATAGACAAGGGATGCTGGGGCAGTATGCAAATCTGACACAGAGTAGGAGAGGCAGATCACAAAGACCTGCCATGATATTATTCTGTAGCTGTCCCCTGCATTTCCCCCTTCCCACCAACCTCCAAAAACTGAGCCAGTTTCTTCCTCCTTTTCCTTCCTTGCAGAAGTGACCGGCCTTACTGTAAGCCTATGGAAAAACAGATGAAAAGATAAAGACAGAAGACCATGGTAATAACTGAGCACTTGGTGGACAGACTAACACCAGTAACGGGACGCCACATGTTATTTATCACCACATAGTCTGCTTGGTAGAATATTCTCGTTTTACTAAGGCCCTCTGTTTTAGGGTTCCAGATAACGACACCTTTTCTTGCTGTCAGAGCCTTCCGGTTGCTCCCTTCTCCATTCTGCGGTTTCACCACTAGGTGCACCGCATCCCTTTGCCTTGCGCAGCATAAATTGGGGGAAGGGCGCCCGCATATTCTCTGAACCACGTTGTGTATTCGTACTTGTAAATGATGACTTCTGTTTCACCCTGGCCTCCAAGCCCGTTTTTTCCTATTCGCAATTTTGGTTGGAAGTAAGCAAGAAGTCGAGGGAAGTGCCTAGAAGCTGGTACAAAGGCATATTTTAGGATTTGTTCCTGGAAGTCTGACCTCTGGTCACAGTCACCTCCAATTCGGGTCTCCAGTCAATGACTAACCACCCCCCATCTCCACACACCTCCAGAAATCCAGGCTATTTTCCTGCTCCAACTTTTCCTCAAGCGGCTCCTCCACTGATGCACCCTGCCGACTGAAATCGCCAACCTACCGCGCAGACAGGAGACTTGGCATCAACCGGGCGCCTGTGGGAAGGGAGATCACCCAGGACGCGGGGCCCAATGGGCCCCTTTCCAGATTCAGGGCCCGGAGCGGCCAACGTGCCCCCACCCTCACGGCGTCCCCCGGCCCAGCTCCCGCTCCGCCATTTCTCCCGCAGCTGCCTGGCCCACAGCCCTCTC